CGTGAGACAATCTCTAAAAACATGCCTACTACAAGGGACTCTAACACAGCAGAAAAGACAGCTTTGAAAAGAGGCATTCATTCCTTCAAACACAGGGGGCCACAAAGGATGTGTGCCTCCATACTGAAATCAAGGGAGGGTTGTTAAGCAGGTGATGGAGAAGGTAAAGCCCCTAGTAGAGATTGCTGATTTTTTGACTGTCACAGAGAAGGGGGCAGAATAAAGGTCATATTCTGAAGAGAGGGGAAGGGCAGGTGGGGGCCAGATGGACAGAGAAGGCAGAAAAAATAGTGCCTTAGAAAAGGAGGCAGGTAGCCAATGCAGGGAGGCTAAGAAATAGTTAAACACAGAGATTCTCATATTCTGGTCTATGGACCATTAGTTCTCTTTGAACAACATCTAAGTAGTCCACAAAAAATTTGCAGAGCTGTTGGAGAGAATCTATATATTTCACTGTATTTTATAATTTATTTCCAGTTATAATCTAGTTCATTTTCAACAATTTATCAAATAGGCAGGTTAAGACTCATACAAGCCAAGAGTTTGTGATTTTAATACAGCACTAATACAATATACTAATTTCTTCCCATTAGCAACAACAAAAGAAGGCAGAGGGGCTTTTTTCAGTGTCAATTGGTTTATGCTTCAGGATTTTTTAAACAGTGTTTTGTTTGACAAGATGCCATCAGCAATGAAGAGGGTGAAGGGAGTTATTAAACCTTTTCAATAATTATTACTGAATAAATTCTGCCCCAATATAGAGTTCAGACATTTTCTTTTGTCCCAATTGGCTTTTTTTTTTTGGTCTAATATTTAAAATCTGAGTTATGTGTATACTTTGATTTAGGAGAAAAAATTAATTTGACTCAGTGTAATTGTGATTTACCAGTTATTTTGATGTGACCAATGAACACCTAGTTCATTCAACACCTAGGATCCACTAGTTCAGAGAAATTAATGGAACCGCAGACAGCAGAGAATTTAGGAGAGAGGATACGTGGAGACAGCCAAGAATTACAGAGGTAAGAAAGAGTGTTATTTTCACATATTTCTTTGATGTAACCAGTCAAGTTTTCACCTGAAACCCTTCTGTCTCCATCCAAGGAATGTATAACTTTTTTCTTCACCGTCTATCTGAATATCATCTTTTCATGGCTTCCATGTAAGCTGGAATACAACTCCTTCCCACACTTCAGTGAAAACAACCTACCCTTTACTCTTCCATGAAATATATCTCTACATTCAACAGCATATTCCTTCAAACGCAGGGGGCCACAAGGGGGGGATCCTTTGTGAGGGAAGGAAGGAAGGA